TATATATAAACATTTCCTCCTAACTGCAGCCTAGTTCTCTATTTCTCATTAATGAAGGGCTTCTTTCTTGCTTTATGGGACCTCAGTCCTGCTTCTAGGAGCTTGATCCAAACTGTTGTATCAGTGCACCTCACACCGACACTTAATGTTTCCCATTCCTTTTGAAGTTTACTTGATGTTATTCTTTGATTCATGAGAAACTATTGAATAAGTTGACTGTCATCTCTGATGTTAGAATGTCACTTCCACCCTTTACCTGGCTGGCTTCTGGTCATTCCCAGTGTCTTCTGCTTCTCCTTATTCTTGTGTCCTGCTGTCTTAGACATTTTGAACCTGAAAGCCACCTGCTGCTCAGTGTAGCCTCTGCCAGCAGAACAAGGATTAAACCATGATTTAAAAATGCAGATTTGTTTAAAAATATAGAGTGGTCTCTTAATTTTTCCACGGCTGTACATATAAATACACACACACACAGACACACACACGCGCGTATATATTTTTAAAATATTTTCTAAATTTGTTTTTGTGTGTTTCCTCACATGACATATATGTTAACTGGAACCCATTTAGTTTGAATGAACATTTAACATTTTGGACAAAAGCACGAAAGTAAAACAAACTCACAAGTGAAAGGTCTTCACGGCTGCATTAGCAATCGAAAGTGTTCAGGCCTCATGATATGAAAAAGCTTTGTCACGTTTTGGGCCACAATTTTTAATGCCCCTTGTCACTGAGGCATGAAGGAGTAATTTCTTCATTAATCCACCACAAAAAGGCCAAAGCTGATAGCACTCAGCCCAAACCATGAAGGCACAAAACTCATGATTGCATTCCCCGCCCAGCTAATTGCCCTGGGGGCCTCCACCCCCCACGGGTCCCCATCGTTCTGCGTTTGATGGATGAGAGGACCAGTGGTGCTTCTGCCCAGTCAGCAGAACATCGGTCAGGCCTAGATTAGCCATGCAGGGACATGAGTCGTTTTGCTAAGAGTGACACTTGAAGAAAATAAAACAACGTAAGTAGATTAACAAAAGCCGCAGTATGAATAAATGCATACATAGAAGATTAACTGCATGGTGGAAAAAAGCGCTCCTGAGCTTTGAGCTGTCTATCAAGAGCTTATATATTTTATTCAAGTTGATGAGTGGTGGGAAAGGAGAGTGCAGATTTCAAAAATGTCATGACTAAAAACCAAAGGACTCCGGGGCATGTGTTGGGAAAATGAAAGGGGGTTTTATTTAACCAAAAACTGAACAGGGGCTGGAAAACAAACGGGACCGCAAGGGGTCAAAACAAGAAGGCTAGTATGGGGAAGAGAAAGGGCAGACAAAAGAAGTGACATCAATGACCAGACTGGGGCTGATGAAACAAACAGGTACTTAAATACAAAGACAAACAAGTGGTAATAAGCAACAGGTGTGGTTCATCAGGGGGGAGACAAGAGGGTGGATATGATGCTCAGAACATAACATACAGTAACAGTTCAGGGCCGTGCAGAGACGTTTAAAGGGGCGGGTGCTCAAAGTTAAAAAAGATAGAACAGGCTGAATAACAACAACTCACATTTATGACGAATCTAATATGGAATGATGTGGATATCCATATTAGATCGTTTTTAGTGAAATAAAAGCCCTCCAGAAAAGAAAGGAAAAGTCCTGTAACTTACTTTAAAACAAAACATGTTCCCTAAAACGGTGGACAGAGCTACAGACCCCCCTTGTAACACCCTTACCCAGTTAGCTAGCAGTTAATGACCACCACTACTTGTGCAGTTCATAAAAGGACAGGTAATGTTTGTCGCGCTGTTGCACAAACAGCACGCTCATTTATTTCAATTCATTAGTTGTTATAGACTATAGTGTGCGCTGTACACCCTATTTACTGTTTTGTTGCAGTCTGCACCTTCCAATTAATTTGCCTGCTTCTCCTCCAGCTCCGCACCACCCAGCCTGCAGAAAATGCGCGTGCACTTTGCGAGCTCGTACCCGGCTCGTAACAAGCGCGCTCTGCCTTCAAGGGCGAGCATTGGTTAATGGCAGTCATGTGACTGATGCAAGCCAGATCCTTTTACAAAATTGAGATTAATAGTTTCATTTTATTGTTGAAGGGCAAAGACAGGGCTCCATACGCACATACACATAAAAAAAAAAAAAAAAACAAAAAAAAAAAAAACCCAAGAAAAGGGCACTTGAGGCATCCTGGAGGAAAGGGGCGGCCCCCCCCCCCCCCCCCCCTCCCCCCCTCTGCACGTGCCTGTAACAGCTGTGAGTTGAATGCCCTGAACCATATACTTTCCCACAGGTCTGTTATTGGGGGATAACAGCAACAGAAAATTCAAAATCCAAGCAGTGATGGTCAGGAGAATGAGTGTAACTAAGGTGTCTGACTCAGTTTCATAACAATATATATGTAAGTAATCTGAACCAATGCTTTGGGTTGGTGTGTGGCTCAGTGAGTTAGGATGCTATATCTGTGATTTGAAAGTTGCTGGTTCAAATCCCATAGTTGGCTTGGTGATTTTACCATTGGGCCCTTGAGCAAAGCACATCATGCCAATTGCTCCTGGGATCATGTGACCCTGCTCTCTCAAAAAAGTCACAGAAGCTATATTGAGAACATGTGTTCTGATGTAAAAGGCTAATGTGGGGTATTTTTTACAATGTTTGTGTGAGTTTGTGAAAATGTTTAACTCTGATGGAGAGACGAGATCCATACCAGTGAAGGGAGCATGAAAAAGCAAGCAAGGAGCTTGAGGTGTAGACAGTAAGTAGAGCCCCAGGTCATGCTGGCTGGTGTCCATTCATGCTGGTCTGCTCTATGAAGTCCTGTCTCTTTGAGACATCCGCTAGACCAGTGGGACTCATCTTCTTGGTTGTCTCCAGTCAACTTGTCTGCAGAGCATTTTGATAACGACCTGACATTATATTAGGAACTATTTATTGAAACTGTTAAAGATCTCCATTATAGCTATGAGTGCATCGAAAATAATGTAGAAACACTAAGTGTCAGCGTCCGTCTTACCTTGCCCTTCGCGTCTCCCCCATTTGGCCAGCAGGTGTTGCTGGCCATCCTGTTCTCCACTTTGTGTCTTGTCCTTTGGCCCCAGTGTGCCTTCCCAACTCCCTGTCCTGCTGCATGGCTCAATAGGCTGAATGTGTGGCTCAGACTGAAAATCTAGTGGTTGTGCATTTGAGGCTAGCTTGGAACCAGCTTTAGCTATTTTGTTTAATTATTGGTTTTTGTTGTTCCTAGTGTTTGACAGTAGTAGTTATTTTGTCTCCCTGTTTGGTTTTCCCTGCTTGTGTCCTGTTTGATTTTGGTTTTTGTCTTGTGTACTCTTAGTTATGCCTCCTAGTTTCGGTGTAAGTTAAGGTTCCATAGTGTTCTGTGCTTTAAATTGTAATCTGCCCCACGTGTTCCTTGTTGTCCTGGGTCCTTTTTGATTTGTTGATTTGATTATGCTTTGCACCTGTTCCTTGTTTGCCCTGGTGTCCCTGTGTATTAAGTGCCTGTCTGTGTTCAGCTCCTTAGTCAGTAATTGGTTTTGTGTTACTGTGTATTACAGCTTGCTATTGTTCCTCAGTGTTACCTGGTTTCTTTATGGTGTTACTTTGAGTTTGTTCTTTATTTTTCCTGTTTGTTTTGACCCCTTGTGGTATTGTTTTCCCCTTGTATTCAGTTTTTTTTAAAGTTTTTTTTCTCTTTTTTTTGTCTTTGAGCTGCAAGTGGATTGTTCCCTCTTTTCCTGTCTGTGCCACACCGTGAGAAACACAGAGTAAACCACCTAACAACATTCTGGTGAGGTTTTAAGTGTTTTTTTTATTATTTAATTGTTACTTCCAGACAGGGTATAAAAACTGTTACTCCTCTTCATGAGAACTGACTACTTTTGACTTTCTATTCTTTTCTTGGTTTCAAATTGCCTAACACAGAACTGGTCATTGTTATGAGACAGCTCATCAGCTATGTCTCACCATAGAGCCTCCCGTCTCTTCTGTTTCCCTACTGGTCCTGTGACAATTCAGCCACATTAATTATCCTTCAAGCCCCCAAAGAAAAATGAGTATGGATTTGTTCAACTTATTGCATTTCTGTAGCATTTTTCATTATATTCCAGCTGTATGTAAAGAATTATAATTTCCTGACATTAACCTGATTTACATTCATAAAACTATGTCATTAGTTTATCACTACCTCTCCCTTTCAACAATGGCTCAAGACAACGTTCGTCCATGGGTCCTGCTTCCATTACCGCTTATCCTGGTAAGTGCTGCAGCCCATTCCAGGAAGATTGGGGTGCAACACATAACGGACCACGTATAAGCCAATCCTTTTCAGTCCTGTGGTCACAGCCGAGACATGAACCACATCTTTGTGGGTGGAAAATAGAACCCACACAAATATGGAATGAGCGTGCAAACTCTGCACACAGCGAAGATTGCATTCAAACTTACAGCCCACGAGGAGATGAGTCAATAAAGCTATCCATAGTGTCAGCTATGAATGCCCTGTCAGATTCTAAAGGCACCGTTCTGATGAATGCAGATACAGCATTTGAGTTGATACCTTCTGAAAGCTAAACACAAATTAATCAGAAGCTCGAGAAGCAGCAGGAAGACGAGAACAGAGGCATGCCCCAATGCTCAGGTTTGTACTAAGCTGTTTTATCCTTTGCACACCGATTTTACTGTCACGCGGCTCGGAAAGCGGCGCTTCTCCGTTTCGCGGGGGCTTTCTGAACGGCGTTACTGCTGTCCGCGCTGCTGCATTGCTCCGCCCTCCCCCCCCCGCACCGAGCGCACGTCTCCCTGCTTACAGCAAACCGCGTACAGGGAGGAGATCGCACCTTTTCCTGCTCCACAAATATATAAATCATGACTATATGGTATAAGAAAGATAATGCGGCGCAAAAACCATCGACGAAGATTCTTATCCTGCGTATTGTGTCGATTTCTACGGAAGACTGAGCGTATAGAGATGTGTAAGACAGGAACACTACGGGCATCTTTAATTTATATGCGTCAGTATTATTGATGATTTTATGTGGCGGAGCTTTCTCCGCATTTTCCGTCTTCCCATTCAATGGTGCAGAGATTCAGCTGCGTCTACATGGAGCCGCCCCCGGTCCCTCTTAATGAGGCGAATGGGGCGTTGATCTGGCCGCTTTCTGGATGTGAAAGTTTCGCGTTTGGTAACATGGCGTTTATGTAAGATCTTCATGGTTCTCCCCACCCCTATCGATAGGCAGCATCTGCTGCCATAGATGCATCCCGAGGTCCTCCCTGCAGGTGAGATCTTTCTCTTTGACCGATACATTTGCTTATAATGCGGGGAATGCATAGACGGCGCTCATCGACACGGAGATAGCTTTCATAGCTGATCATCTCACCGTGGCTTTCGGATTAGCTTTTGCTTCTTATGCTTTAGTGCTGAGTGATGGTGGCTCCGTCTATGCGCTTTAAGCGAGCAGAAGATGGCAGGTGATGACAGGCACACGATGAAGGGCCGTCTCAATCTGCCAGCCTAAGATGTAAGCTTTGCAATCATATAATTAAAAAATAATACCGATGTCAAAATAATTCGCGTCAAATCGTTGCAAATAATTAAGGTGAGTTAAGATAAAATAAATTGAAGTGCTGCCGTGATAATAGGCATGGAATAAAATAATGAAATAAATATGATATAACAGCGGAGTCCCGTCATATTTATTATTATTGTAATCATCATCAATGTAATTAATTACTATTATATTAATGTTTAGGTATGCGTAATAAAATACTATATCGGTATGTCTTGCTTTTTATCGCTGCCTCACTTCACTAAGCAGACACGTCCTAAATGCCTTTGATACCCATTATGGTCATAAATGTGCCCTGTAGGTGTACTGATGGAGAGCGCATAGCCCATGTAAGGATGGATACTTATGGCTGCGCCTTCAGGCAGCGCAAGGCGGACCCACGGCAGCGATTTCGCCTTAAAATAAGACCGTCGGATGGGTTCTGGGTTCGTATCTTTTGTGACCGGAAGGATAAGCCGCAGTGTCCGGCCCCGGGTTCGTGCGTTTTGTAGGCGGCGGGATATGCCCATGCGCGGGGCCCGGCCCAGGGTTCGTGTTTTTTCTGTCTGGCGAGATGAGCTCATGGACAGGGTCCGGCCCGCCGTTCGTGTTTTTCGTGGGCAGGCAGTATTGATCAGACGCTGCTATTTGCGTTCTGTAGAAGAGACGCGCTACGGGAGCGGTGGTTCGTAGGATGTGAAGCGCTGCCTGTGCATTTAATGTGGACCGGTATCACCCGATTTTGGCTTGCCGTGTGTTATTATTTCAACCTCATTTTAATGATGGAAATATGGGTAACTGCGTTTGGCCATATTGACTGATATTTTACTTCTAGTATTTGATTTAAACGGAAGTTTCCTGTGCTTTAAAAATAATGGACTTTAGAACAAAGAATTGCTATAATTAGACTTAATCTGTCTAAAATGCTTCACCAAACGCAACACGTGTAAGCAAAACAGCATCACTTAATTATTTTATTTTACAACTGAACACAGGTCTTTAACTGGAGGAAAATAGTAAAGAAAATTCCAATTTTGTGATTAGTAAAAAGCATTCACATTTGGAGGTTGAAACATTATTAGCTGCACATACAGAGAAAAATTCAAGTCAGGCAGTTACTAGCATCTTCTGCCAGGTCCTGCAAAATTCCCCATTTAACCTACTCTGCCTGGTCCCTCCGTCTCCTGTATCTTGACTCTGCCTGGTCCCTCTGTCTCCTGTAACCC